CTCGTTCACATTTCCTTGTTCACATTTCCCTCGTTCACATTTCCCCCGTTCACATTCCCTCGTTTCACATTCCCTTTTCACATTCCCCTCGTTCACATTCCCATTTTCCTCGTTCACATTTCCCTCGTTCACATTCCCTCGTTCACATTCCCTCCTTCACATTTCCTCGTTCACATTCCCACATTTCCTCGTTCACATTCCCTCGTTCACATTTCCCTCGTTCACATTTCCCTCGTTCACATTTCCCTCGTTCACATTTCCTCCTTCACATTTCCCTCGTTCACATCCCTCCTTCCCTCCATTCCCTTGTTTACCTTGTTCACATTTTCCCTCGTTCACATTTCCCCGTTCACATTCCCGTTCCTTTCCCTCGTTCACATTCCCTCGTTCACATTCCCTCGTTCACATTTCCTCGTTTACATTTCCTCATTCACATTCCCTTTTCCTCGTTCACATTCCCCTTGTTCACATTTCCTCGTTCACATTTCCTCGTTCACATTCCCTTGTTTCCTCGTTCACATTTCCTCGTTCACACTTCCCTTGTTCACATTTCCCTCGTTCACATTTCCCCGTTCACATTCCCTCGTTTCCCTTGTTCACATTTCCCTCGTTCACATTTCCCTCGTTCACATTTCCCTCGTTCACATTCCCTCGTTCACATTTCCTCGTTCACATTCCCTCGTTCCCTTGTTCACATTCCCTCGTTCACATTCCCTCGTTCACATTTCCCTCGTTCACATTTCCCTCGTTCACATTCCCTCCTTCACATTTCCCTCCTTCACATTCCCTCCTTCACATTTTCCCTCGTTCACATTTCCCTCGTTCACATTTCCCGTTCACATTCTCTCGTTTCCCTCGTCGTTCACATTTCCCTCGTTCACATTTCCCCGTTCACATTCCCTCGTTTCCTCGTTCACATTCCCTCGTTCACATTCCCTCTTCACATTTCCTCATTCACATTCCCTTGTTTCCTCGTTTCCCTCGTTCACATTTCCCTTGTTCACATTTCCTTCGTTCACATTTCCTCGTTCACATTTCCCTCGTTTACATTTCCTCGTTCACATTTCCTCGTTCACATTTCCTCGTTCACATTCCCTTGTTTCCTCGTTCACATTTCCTCGTTCACATTTCCTTGTTCACATTCCCTCGTTCACATTTCCCCGTTCACATTCCCCCGTTTCCTTGTTCACATTTCCCTCGTTCACATTCCCTCGTTCACATTCCCTCGTTCACATTTCCCTCATCTCGTTTCACATTTCCTCGTTCACATTTCCTCGTTCACATTTCCTCATTCACATTCCCTTGTTTCCTCGTTCACATTTCCCTCGTTCACACTTCCCTTGTTCACATTTCCCTCGTTCACATTTCCCTCGTTCACATTTCCCTCGTTCACATTTCCTCGTTCACATTTCCCTCGTTCACATTTCCCTCGTTCACATTCCCTTGTTCCCTCGTTCACATTTCCCTCGTTCACATTCCCTCGTTCACATTTCCTCGTTCACATTTCCTCATTCACATTCCCTTGTTTCCTCGTTCACATTTCGCTCATTCACATTTCCCTCGTTCACATTCCCTCGTTCACATTTCCTCGTTCACATTCCCTCGTTCACATTTCCTCGTTCACATTTCCTCGTTCACATTCCCTCCTCTCCGCACATATGTTGTTCTCTCAGTTGACTTTTCCCTTATCCCAGGCAAGGAAAACAAGAAGAAAAGGGGAAAATAAAATCTTTCCAAAATCCTGAATACATTTTCTCTGCGGTTTGTCTGCCTCTGACAACGTGACAACGTAAAACATTTGTCCTCTCGGAAAAAAAAACCCCATAAAACATCAACAAGTCGTCTCTTTACGCAGGTGGCAGACGAGGGGGAGCGGAGATGGTGCGCCGGGGCCCCCCATGTATTTTCGCAGCCAATATATTTTTGGGGGGAGGGGGGGGGGGGAGACTTGAAACAACTCGGTGAGACTTGTTCCCAAAGAGCAGCTGAATGTGTTTTTTAACAGCACAGAGGCTGGAAATCTGCTGCGTGCTCCTTACATAACGGGACCAGATGGAAGGAGGAGATTTTGTAGGAGCCTCAGATAGACTTTTGAGAGTTGGAAGTTTGCGTTCTTCTTTGGAAAGATTTTCATTGCGAGCGAATGTTGGGGAACCCTGGGCACCGTGTCCCTTCTACACACAAACTAACATAACATGTAGGAAGGGGGTACCACCAGTCCTCTTGTAGGGGGCCCAGGCCAGCATGGGGGCCAGGCAGCTGGCTGAATTGGATGTGGGCAGGGACGGTGATTGGTATGGTGCGAGGGGGTAATTACTGGAACCGATCCCCTGCATGGCTCTCTCTGCAGCAGCTGAAATCTGACTTCTTCTCCTTTCCCTCCCGATGGCTTTCAGCTGCTGCAGAGGTGATTGTAGCCGTATTTGTGCATTTGTGACAGAAACAATTGAGTACTGACGTGATACTTTTTTTATTTGCACTAACATACAATTTTGAGGACAAGCTGTTGGGGTATGTCCCCTTCTTCAAGGTTCAGGTAGTACTGCTTGGACCTTGAAGAAGGGGACATACCCCAAAAGCTTAAATAAAATACAAAAATCCCCCTGCGCTCCACAGAACCTAGTGAGTAAGCTGCTATCACCTGTTCTTTATACCGCAAGATATGTGAAATCAAATCATATAAGTGGTGAAGCGCTCAACTTATAATTCCCTAGTGAAATACACAAATCATATCTCTCAATAATACAAATAATAAATATTAAATAAAACTAGTGCAATATCTTCATACACATAACAAATATATATCCCTGGTGATATAGTGAAAACTTATATCTCTTAAACTGTGCAGAAAGTGAAATACAATGATTAAAATAAATGGTGATGTCACACTGTGAAAATTAATGGCAAGGTGTTCAAAATAATGTCACTCCATGCTGCAAATAGTGCTCTTCGTGTAAATCTTGACGTGACTCCCCTCAATAGCAGAAATGCCCCCTCACCTTCCACATTCGACCCTTGCGGGTCACAGAGCTTTTTTATATATCTCTCTCTGTTAGATGTTCTCCACTGCCTCCACCGACCATAATCCACCTCCAGGCAGTAAGTACCTCTCCAATTACTCCACTTTGCCAGGTAAACCTCTCCTCCACTGCCACCTCCGACCAAGATCCTCCTCCAGGCAGTAAATAATATCCAATACCCCTCACACAATGGACTCAGGCTCAGAGCGATTCATATAAAACGATAAAACAGACAAAGTTTGTAACCGCAGTCCTTGCCCTTTCCATCGTCATCAAAACCCTCGGCTATTCTCTGAGAATAGCCGAGGGGCATTTCTGCTATTGAGGGGAGTCACGTCAAGATTTACACGAAGAGCACTATTTGCAGCATGGAGTGACATTATTTTGAACACCTTGCCATTAATTTTCACAGTGTGACATCACCATTTATTTTAATCATTGTATTTCACTTTCTGCACAGTTTAAGAGATATAAGTTTTCACTATATCACCAGGGATATATATTTGTTATGTGTATGAAGATATTGCACTAGTTTTATTTAATATTTATTATTTGTATTATTGAGAGATATGATTTGTGTATTTCACTAGGGAATTATAAGTTGAGCGCTTCACCACTTATATGATTTGATACCCCAAAAGCTTGTCCTCAAAATTGTATCTTAGTGCAAATAAAAAAAAAGTATCACATCAGTACTCAATTGTTTCAGCTGCTGCAGAGAGAGCCATACAGGGGATCGGTTCCAGAAAATCCCCCCCACCTCCACCACACCTATCACCCTCCCTGTGCACCATATGTTTCAGCCTACTGCCCAGGCCCAGGGGCGTCCCTAGGGTTGGTGTCACCCGGTGCCGGTACGCTTGGTGACACCCCCTCCGATGATCCCCGCAGGATAGATCGGATCTGCGGATTGAGCATAATGGATCAGAGTCCGATCCATTATCCTCCCCAATCTGCAGATCCCATCCATCCTGCGGGGATAGTCGGTTTGCAACCTATACAGGGTTAACTGATGTCTCTACGAGCTCCACGGAAAGGTACGTTTTAAAGCAAGCCGACGATCCCTGCAGGATGGATGGGATCTGCGGATTGGGGAGCATAATGGATCGGACTCCGATCCATTATGCTCAATCTGCAGATCCGATCCATCCTGCGGGGATCGTCGGCTCGCAACCTATACGGGGTTAACTGATCTCTCCACGAGTTCCACGGAAAGGTAAGTTTTAAAGCAAGCCGACGATCCCCGCAGGATTATGTTCAATCTGCAGATCCGATCTATCCTGCGGGGATCGTCGGTTTGCAACCTATACGGGGTTAACTGATGTCTCTACGAGCTCCACGGAAAGGTACGTTTTAAAGCAAGCTGACGATCCCTGCAGGATGGATGGGATCTGCGGATTGGGGAGCATAATGGATCGGACTCCGATCCATTATGCTCAATCTGCAGATCCGATCCATCCTGCGGGGATCGTCGGCTCGCAACCTATACGGGGTTAACTGATCTCTCCACGAGCTCCACGGAAAGGTAAGTTTTAAAGCAAGCCGACGATCCCCGCAGGATTATGTTCAATCTGCAGATCCGATCTATCCTGCGGGGATCGTCGGCTTGCTTTAAAACTTACCTTTCCGTGGAGCTCGTGGAGAGATCAGTTAACCCCGTATAGGTTGCGAGCCGACGATCCCCGCAGGATGGATCGGATCTGCAGATTGAGCATAATGGATCGGACTCCGATCCATTATGCTCCCCAATCCGCAGATCCGATCCATCCTGCCGGGATCGTCGGCTTGCTTTAAAACTTACCTTTCCGTGGAGCTCGTGGAGAGATCAGTTAACCCCGTTTAGGTTGCGAGCCGACAATCCCCGCAGGATGGATCCGATCTGCGGATTGGGGAGCATAATGGATCGGAGTCCGATCCATTATGCTCAATCTGCAGATCCCATCCATCCTGTGGGGATCGTCGGCTTGCTTTAAAACTTACCTTTTCGTGGAGCGGGTCCGGTGTCACCCCCATGTGATCGGTGTCACCCGGTGCAGTGCGCACCCCCCGCACCTGCCTAGGGACCAGGGGCGGACTGACCATTTGGAAACTCGGGCAGTGCCCGAGGGCCCGGGGTCAGTAGGGGGCACCATGAGATGCCCCTGGTACCTTTTTCATAGGCTTTTTTGACTTTGGGCAAAGCCACAGGGGCCCCATGATCCCCTATTGCCCGGGGCCCCATGAGTTGTCAGTCCGCCCCTGCCCAGGAACCCCACAGTGCTAAAAGCTTCCTTCCTCTCATTTCAGCGGCTGCTAGCACACAATAAGATCTTTCCAAATGTAGAGTGGGGAAAGGGTCTGGTAAATACATCACATTTACCAGCCCCTTCCTTTGCCGAATGAACACAATGAGTGATCGGTACCAATCTCTAACTGTGTACATTCATAACTGAAGCATATTAATCTATGGCGTTTTTTTTTTTGAAGGGGGTGGGTGTCAGGTTGGCTGTATGGGGCCCCATGGTTTCTAACAGCAGCCCTGCATGTAAGAAAACCTTCAAATTGATACTTCATCTTAATTCAATTCTTAAACTCTGGTTAAAAAACAAATCAGGTGCATATTTTTAACTCGAAAAGTTCCTGGTATTTCTAACAGCATCCTCCAAATCTCCATTTTTTAATTTATTTTTTAATTTTTTTGCTGCTGCTGGGATCTGACTTCCTGTTAGAGGGTGGCTACAGTTTTCAGTTTCCCAATGTATGTAGGACCCTAGACACCCTCTCTTGAGACTAGAGACTATGGAAAAAAAAAATAGCGTTCCCCTATAATGGGAAAAATGTTCTGGGACTTAAGAGGATTTATTGGTTAAGCTAAAAAAAAAATAAAAAATAGAGCTCTACTTTATGAAATCCCCTCTTTTCCTTACAGCAGGAAAAAAAATATTCTCAGGGTCAACAGAATTTGGGAGTCAAATGTAAAAAAAAAATAGAGCTCTACTTTATGAAATCCCCTCTTTCACTTAGAGCAGGAAAAAATGTTCTGAGGGTCAAGGGAATTTGGGGGTTAAATAAAAAAAAAAATAGAGCTCTACTTTTAAGTGAATCCCCCTTTTTCCGTTATAGCAGGAAAGCAGGAAAACATGTTCTGGGACTTAAGGGGATTTAAGGGTTAAACAAAAAAAAATTATAGTAAAATAGAGTTCTACTTTCCCTTATAGCAGGAAAAAATGTTCTGAGGGTCAAGGGAATTTGGGGGTTAAATAAAAAAAAAAAAATAGAGCTCTACTTTTAAGTGAATCCTCCTTTTTCTGTTATAGCAGGAAAGCAAAAAAACATGTTCTGGGACTCGAGGCTTTAACCCTTTGAGGACCGTAAGATTTTGGAATGCCAAAAGAATCCATTTTTTTTGTTTTTAAAGTTCGTACACTTCAGTTGCTGTAACTAAGCCATTTCATGAAATAATTGGCAAAAAGCTAGATCCATTTGTTGTTTGTTGATAAGAACTAATATTTTGACTCAAACCAAAAAAAAAAAAAGTTTTAAGTTCTTAATCAGATGATACACGCAATTACAAATGGGACATGGGGGTTACAAATACGTCCCTTGGTCCTCAAAGGGTTAAGGTTGAACTTAAAGTTGAACTAAAAAAAAAAAAATGCCCCTTTCCTCTTATAGCAGCAAAAAAACATGTGTTCTGAACGGGTCAAGGGAACTTAATTTAAACTTAATAAATCCATTTCACTGGAAAAAAACACTCTGAGACTTGGAGGATTTGAAGGGTTAAACTACAAAAAAAAAAAAAGAGTTTTACTTTAAGTGAATCCCCCTCTTTCCCTTTTAGTGGGGAAAAATGTTCTGAGCGTCAAGGGAATTTGGGGGTTAAACTTAAAAAAAAAAAAAAATAGAGCTTTACTTTAAGTGAATCCCCCTTTTTTCATTATAGCAGGAAAACGTGTTCTGGGACTCAAGGGAATTTAAGGGTTAAAAAAAAAAAAATAGAGTTCTACTTTAGCAAATCCCGCATTTCCCTTATAACAGGTCTATCTGTGTCTCTCTATGTCTCTCACTGTCTCCCTCCCTCCTTCTCTATCTCTGTCTCTCTCCCCTCCCTCTCTCCTGTCCTCTCTCTCTCTCTCTGTCTGTCTCACCGTCTCTCTCCCTCCCAACCCCTCTCTCTCACCTCTCTCTCTCCCTCCCCTCTCCCTCTCTCTCTGTCTCCCCCCCCTCCTCTCTGTCTCCCCCCTCTCTCCTCCCCCCCTCTCCCTCACCCCCTCTCTCTCCCCCTCTCTCTCCCCCCTCTCCCTCCCTCTCTCTCCATCTCCCCTCTCTCTCTGTCCCTCACCCCCTCTCTCTCACCCCCTCCCCCTCACCCCCCTCTCTATCTGTCATCCCCTCTCTCTCTCCCCCCTGCTCTCTCTCCCCCCTCTCTATCTCTCTCCCCCCTCCTCCTCTCTCTCTCCCTCTCTCCCTCGCTCTCCCTCTCTCCCCCTCTCTCCCCCCTCTCTCTCTCTCCCCTCTCTCGCTTCTCTCTCTCTCTCTCTCCCTCGCCCCCTCCTCCCTCTCTCTCTCCCTCTCTCTCTCCCTCCCCCCTCTCTCTCTCCTCTCCTCTCTCTCTCTCGCTCCCTCTCCCTTCCCCCTCTCCCTCTCCCCTATCTCTGTCTCTCCCCTTCCCTCCTCTTTCTCTCTCCCCCGCTCTCTGTCCTCTTCCCCCCCTCTCTCTCTCTCCCCCCTCTCCCTCTCCCCTCCCCCCTCCCCCTCTCTCTCTCTCTCCCCCCTCCCTCTCTCTCCTCTCCCTCTCTTCTCTCTGTGCTGTGTTTGTGTGTGTGTGTATATATATATATATATATATATATGGAGAGACAGAGGGGGAGAGAGAGTTCTACTTTAAGTGACTCCCCCCTTTACCCAAAATATGGGAAAAACTAGAGTTCTACTTTAAAGTGAATCCTTCTTTCTCTTAAAAATAATTTAAACATGTTCTGAGTTCTTCAGTTCTTCTTCAGGTGTCTGCCTCCTTTCCCTTCTAAGGGGAAAACTCACTCTCTATAGACCCAATGGGGTTTAGGAGTTAAATATGTAAAACATGAAAATAAAATAGAGCTCTACTTTAAGCAAATTCCCCCTTTACCAAAAAATAGGGAAAAAATAAAGTTCTACATTAAGTGAATCCTTCTTTTTTCTTTATTATTAATAATAATAATACTAATAATAATTTTAAAAAATGCTCTTGAACTTTTTCATGATTTAGGGATTAAACTAAAAAAAAAAAAAAAGAATAGAGCTCTCCCACCGCTTGCCAACCGCCGTCCCTAGGAGGGCAGCGACAGAACGTCTCTCCTGTGCCGGATCACTTATCTAGTACATGATTTGGCACTTCCAGGTAGGGTGCGCATGCATGCTGCCGGGAGCAGGCTGTGCTTTGATTAGTCACAGTACAAGCCAATCAGTGATTGCCGGCCAATGATTGACCTCCAGATCACCCGCTGATCAGCGAGGGGGAAGACAAGATAGATTTCTGTACTATCAGTGGGAATGTGCTGGTTTTTGTTTCCCTGCAAATCAGGAATAAAAAGCTAAAGCACCTCACAGTACACACATAAACACTGGTTAGGCACATATTTACCCTTTGATCGCTCTAGATATTTAACCCCTTCCCAGCCAGTGACATTAGTACAGTGACGGTGTATATTTTTAGCACTGATCACTGTACTAGTGTTTATGGTTCTCACAAAATGTCAGTTTGTGTCAAATTGCCCACCATACTTTCACAGTCCTACTATACTATTACTAGCATTAAAAAAAAAAAAAAAATATATATATATATATATATATATATATATAAAATTCCAGTATATATCCCATAGTTTGTTAGACATTTTGTAGACATCGTAAACTGATCAGTATATGCTTATTGGGATTTTTTTTTTAACAAAAATATGTAGCAGAATACATTCTGGCCAAAATTTTTGAAGAAATTAGATTTTTTAAAATTTTTGCATTGTATATGTGCTATAGCAGAAAGTCAAAAAAAAAAAAAATGTATAGCGCAAAAAATAAAAAGCCCAGTGGTGATCCAATACCAACAAAAGAAAGTTCTATTTGTGTGAAAAAAATATAATTTGTGTACAGTGCTGCATGACTGCGAAATTGTCAGCTAAAGTAACACAGTGCCAAAAAGCAAAAAAAAATGGACTGGTCAGGAGGGGGGGGGGGTAAATCTTTTGAAGGTCAAGCGGTTAAGTGAATGCTCCTTTCCCTAATAATGGGGTAAAAACACTGAGACTCCTTGGGATTTAGGAATTAAAATTAAAAAAAAAAATTAAAAATAGAGCCCTACTTGAAGCAAATCCCCCCTTTCACCTATAATAATATTTTAAAAAATACTGTTTATTATTTATTTCAGGTACTTATATATCGCCATCAATTTACGCAGCACTTTACATATATATTGTACATTCACATCAGTCCCTAACCCTCAAGGGGCTTTACATAACCCTCATGTACAATCTAAGGTCCCTAGCCCTCAAGGGGTGTACAATCTAAGGTCCCTAACCCTCAAGGGGCGTACAATCTAAGGTCCCTAACCCTCAAGGGGCGTACAATCTAAGGTCCCTAACCCTCAAGGGGGGTACAATCTAAGGTCTCTAGCCCTCAAGGGGTGTACAATCTAAGGTCCCTAACCCTCAAGGGGCGTACAATCTAAGGTCCCTAACCCTCAAGGGGCGTACAATCTAAGGTCCCTAACCCTCAAGGGGCGTACAATCTAAGGTCCCTAACCCTCAAGGGGCGTACAATCTAAGGTCCCTAAGTCTAAGGTCCCTAACCCTCAAGGGGCGTACAATCTAAGGTCCCTAACCCTCAAGGGGCGTACAATCTAAGGTCCCTAACCCTAACAAGGGGCGTACAATCTAAGGTCCCTAACCCTCAAGGGGCGTACAATCTAAGGTCCCTCACCCTCAAGGGGCGTACAATCTAAGGTCCCTAACCCTCAAGGGGCGTACAATCTAAGGTCCCTCACCCTCAAGGGGCGTACAATCTAAGGTCCCTAACCCTCAAGGGGCGTACAATCTAAGGTCCCTAACCCTCAAGGGGCGTACAATCTAAGGTCCCTAACTCACATTCATATATACACATACTAGGGACAATTTAGACA